GAATTGCGCTGGGAGGGGAATTCTGGGAGTTGAAGTCCACACCTCTTAAAGTTATCCTGGTTGAGAAGTACTGGTCTAGGGTGTCAACTCAGCCTGGGAGTTGGGTTCACAGTGACCCCACAAACTTTATGGTTGTGGGAGCATTTGAACTCAGATCTTGTTCCTCATGCAGCCCTTTCTGTTCTGCCCACGTTACCTGTTTTTTCTGCCCTGTGTGTATGTGTGTCAGGAACGAAAACAATCCAAAGGCTGTTTCAAAGGAAGCAGGCAGTTTAAAAGCAGCCATCTCCCCTTCCTCCCATAAACACAGAAGCGAAAGCGCGGAGAGTCCAGATGTTGCTCCAGCTGGGGTACCGCCTTCGGAGCAACCAGCCGTCATCCCAACTCAGGGCGATCTTCTGGGAGACCTGCTGAACCTTGACCTCGGGCCCCCGGTCAGCAGCCCTCCGATCGCGACATCGTCGGTGCAGATGGGAGCGGTGGATCTCCTCGGCGGTGGCTTGGACAGTCTCGTAAGTCCCTCTTGTCCTTGGTTAGTGGCCTCCAAACCCTGAGAAGCTTGTGCAAAAAACCCCCCAAAAAATAATTCCAGAGGGCTTCCCATTTCTCTGAACTGTAAGAGAAGTCACTGCGAGTAAAAATGTCATTGCAGGAAAAAAAAATGTTGCGGTAGAGGGTTTTTTCCCCCTTGCATAGGGGCCCTGAAATGCTGACAGGGTTAGGGTTAGGGCAAACATTATTGCAATTACTGTAAAGACGGTTGCCGTACAGTTTTTTCCTTGCATAGGGGGCCACCAGATGCCAACAGGCTTTTGAAAAAAAATTCAAAGCGCTACAAATTTCTCTGAATGCTCACAGAATTCATTGCAAGCAGAAAAATTATTGCAATTACTGTAAACACGGTTGCCGTACAGTTTCTTCCTTGCATAGGGGCCTCCAAATGCCAACAGGTTTTTGACATAAAATCCAGAAGGGCTGCAAATTTCTCTGATTTTCCATAGAATTCACTGCTAGTAAAAAAAAAGAAAAACTCCATTGCAGTAAGGGATTCATGGCGAGACATTTATTTCCCTGCAACCACAGTCTCTAAAGGATGATACGCTTTTTAAAAAAGGCTACAAACGCCTCTGAAGACTAATAGAATTACAGCTCGTGTCCCGCTAGTCTATCTTTCCGATTTCTCTGATATGGTTGGACAATTCTTCAAAAGTTGGATTAATCGCTCCCTAGTTTTTAAGGTTGGTTGGTCTGTTTGTTTCTGAGATTTAGAGGTTGTCCAGCTTTAAAAAGACTCTGGGCAGCTTACATCAAACAAGAACATCAAGGAAAACCATAAAAACCGACAAGGAGATTCTGTGGTCCAGACAAATAGACTCCCTCTGTGAAAAGCATCACTTAAAGGGCTCCATAAACGCCCTACCCCAAGGCCTGGGAGAATAGTCAAACTTTTTAAAGCTTTCTGGGACATCCTTAGGGTGGGGGTGACACAGATCCCCTTATTCTCTCCCATTCTGAGACTCTGGGCTTTGCCCCCTATTTTAGCAGTTAACAGAAAACCAGACTGGCATTTCTATCATAGGCATTCAGTAACAGAATCAGAGGGACTGCATTCAGGGGAATTCTAACATTCCTGCAAATATTTCAAAACTCATCTCATGCTGCCACGGTGGGTACACTTAACTAAAGTGGAAAGCCTTCTTAATTTAATGCCGAACGCTGCTTAAAACAAAAGCACGCGTTACCGTCAACCCAGACATGAGACGTGGATTTGCTGCGAGCTGCTCAGAGTCAGTTGAATGGGTGGAATATAAATGATACAATAAATAAATACAATCACCAGGTTTTATTCAACCTAGACGTCTTTAATACTTTCGGTCTGGGGCAAGTCATTCATCCATTCAAATTTGCAAGACTGAAATAATATTCAAGGCTGTTAGAGGACAATCCTTCAGTCTGAAAAATGTCCCTTTTCAAAGCATTCTTCTAGGTCGTTGCCAAAAAATGATTTCTGAAACGGGTAAAAAATTGTGCAGCTCTGTCAAAACGGACAGAAAATAATAATGACTGTCAATTCTACCTTGCTTTTTCCTTCAACACTGGTGGCCCATATATGCCAGCTGTTCAAATTCTCAGTTATTCGTTATTTCAACAAGCATTATCTATTCAGGTCCAGATCTTTCCTACCATAAGGACTAGGAACTTGGTTTTGTGTCTGCTGAACACTTAAATGACCCCTCTCCCCCTTCCCCCTGCACTCATCACTTCCTCCCACCCTTGAGGAAATTCAACCTATGACGTAGTGGCTAAATTTTGCAATAGATGCGAAATCCCTTGAAGGCTCAAACTGCCCTATTGACGCTGCTGCCATCACAGCCGGATGATATTCTGTCTTACTTGTCTGTGTGGTGTGCGGTCTGATTTTAAGACTACAGGCCTGTAGAATCACGGGTGGGTATTTTTTCCCCCCAGAAAAACAGCTAGTACATTTGGCAAGAGTATATTTTATTTTTATTTTTTATTTTTTATTTTGTTTTGCTTTGTTTGTTTTATTTTATTTTGTTTATAGGTTCTACTTGTCCCCCCGCCCCCCGTTCAGTC